TAGACCCGGATGGATTGACGAGGTGCAAGTCGCGCCGGGAAAGATCAAACACTCATTCGTACGACGAAGAATTTCCCATCATCATCCCGGGCAACGACGGTTGGGCCAGACTAATAGTGCTCTCTGTTCACGGCAGAGAGTGCTGGCATTGGGGTGGAGTCGCTTCGACGCTTCAGAAGCTCCGACAGCGCTCCTTCATCCTAAAAGCTAGAAAAATCGTATACGATGCCTTGAGGCATTGTCCAGGGTGCAAACGCTTCAACGCAAAACCGGCGGCAGAACCGACTCCGGCGTTACCGGCGTTCAGAGTCGAAATCACTCCTCCCTTTCTCTTCACGGGAGTCGATTTTGCCGGTCCTCTCTACTACAAGAGAGAGAATGGAAGAAAGGCCAAGTCGTACATTCTTCTATTCACATGTGCTGTATCAAGGGCCATCCACTTGGAGCTCACGATGGACCTGTCAACATACGCGGTCCTTCAGGCGCTGCAAAAATTTATCAATCGGTTCCCATCAGCGCGGAATTTCATCTCCGACAACGGCGCATCCTTTCGCCGAGCCGACGCCGAGATTCGACTCATCTACAACCACATCGCCAGAGGCGAAATATCGAAATGGTTGACTGAGACAAAGCTCACGTGGAAATTCATCACACCGGCATCCCCATGGGTCGGCGGCTTTTGGGAAAGAATGGTGGGATGCACCAAGCGTTGCCTGAGCAAAGCGCTCGGTACTGATAGAATTTCTGACTAATTTTCTATCCAAGGTTTCTTTCCCACTCTTGCCTTGCCTTTCTTAGCTACTCAGCCTACTCGGCTGTATTACAACCCACTAGCCCGGCCTTATTTAAAACATTCCATATAGGGAAACACGTGGTTTTATAGATTATACAGAAAATACAGAATGTGTCCTTTCTCTTCTGCTGTATATAAGACTCAGTGATTCCCTCAATAAAATACTGACAGGATTCAGTCATATTTGCTCCGTCAACTCCTGCTGTTCTTATTCAACTGTGGTGTGCTCCAGAAGTGCCATCTCACGACCTCCGATACTGTAGAGTATCCTCAGTCATCTATCAAAGCTCGAAACCTATTTCCTTCATCGTTATCAGCACGGATCTCTGAGGACTCCCGAGCTAGGAGAGCAATCTTCCAAGACAACTCAAGTTAGAATAAGTGCTTTGTGTTGTGCC